AGTCCGCAAAGCAGACGTCTTCCAAAACGTCCGCTATGGGGGCGGTGACGCCGTGTTCGAGCACTGGTGGCTCGTCAGCTTGCAGAGCTTCGGTGCTGAAGCCACAGTGGCGAAAGCAATTTGCTATCGTAAGCGCTGTAACTTGCTCTCAAGCACGTACAAGCATGTGTAGCGCACTTAGGAGCGTCACTTGGTAGTTATTGCACAAAATAATTCGTTCCAACATATGACGCCGATAAAATGATTTTAAATTTCTAATTATACCCTTGTCCATGGGCAGCAGTACCCCTGTCGTGTTTGCTGGAAGGAAGGCTAGCTTGTCATGTTAAATGGAAGGAAGTGTTTTGGCACGATATTTGCCGCGGGCACACGCCTTTAAGTCGGAGCAGCAGAATCGCGACAGACAGGAAGCTACTACCAGCGCTAACGCAACAAACGTTAGCCGAGGCCTAACACCAACACAAAGAATCGCGACAGTCGGAAGCTACTCCCAGCACCAACAACCGAGGTGTATGACGCACGCCCTAGACAGAGACTGCAGAGGAGGCTGGGCGAAGGTATGACGCACCCAATTTGCTGTGTGCTGGTCATGCCGTCTGTCGTCTAACAGCGACAACTACGCAAATTTTCAAAGGCTTCGAGATTGGCGCTTAAAAAAAAAAAAAACAAATCTTGAAGGTTACGTAGCACGGAGAGCAGGCAGCCCCCGAGAGAGAGATTGTGGGGGAGGGGGTGAAGAGTAAGTGGCGCTATTTTCTGCACTCTGGCCTCCGTGCCAGTTTCTCCGTTTTTCTCTCCGCTCTTTGTCAACGTCGCCTCGTAACTCGGCAGCCGCCCTATCGAATGACCAGCCAAGCTGCCAGCGCGGTGGCGCATAGTTCGAACTATCCGCGGCGAAACCTACTTGCGTTCAAATTAACGGGCTTTTTTTATTCATAGGCTTGTATGGAGCTTGGCCAGACCATAACTTACAGTTCGAATTATCCATAAATTAGAATTATTGAAGTTCAAATTAACGAGCTTTCAATGTATAACGAAATATGTTATAATAATATAAATCATCAATAAAATTAATTCTTGGGGTTATAACGTCCCAAAACCACCATATGGTTATGACAGAGACCATATTGGAGGGCTCCAGAAATTATGACCACCTGGTGTTCTTTATTGTGCACCTAAATCTAAGCACACGGGCCTCAAGCATTTTTGCTTCTGTCACTTATTATACGAGGTAAAATCTCCGCAAATTTTATTTCCAACTGCAGTACAGACCGCAGATAAAGTACGTATACGTCGCCGAACTCGCGCATATCCGCACTACAGCCGAAACAACCTCCTTCATAAGCTACACTACCGCGAAACGTGTTGAGAATGCAGTCTCGCCTGTGTGAGAACCAAGGCATGCGTTGATGCGCATTAAAATTTTCAGATATTAACATCAAAAGACCAGTGTTGGCAACGAAATGAATGCGAAAAAAAAAACTACGAAAAGAAAGCGCCATCACGAAAATCTGTCGATTATGTTTCAGGCCATCTAGATTATGTGCATTATCACTACTGAAATTTTGTGCACTGAACAGTAGCGATCGTTCGATTTCATGGGCTTGCACCGTATAGACATTGCAATCAAATCGCGAACCACAGGTTGAGTGTAACTAGCACCACCCAAGCCCCTCTTTCCTTAGTGTAGAGCCACCGAAAGAAGTTAGTGCGTTGATTCAATACAAAACTGCAACTTGGATCATATAAACAGGCCTATTCTACGGTTCGGGATGTTGTCTCGGGAGGTTAGTACAAGACAGCATTGACTGGGCGTTCAAAAGATCCCACTCAAGCCCTGATCCAAAAGAAGTGCGCGTGATACGATGTTTAAATTTGTGGCCAGCAAATCAGCGCCAACAAAAGTCTGCCGAGCTTGTGCAAGTCCGCGTAGGGGCAGCTAAGGCGAGGCCAAAAAGCTTTTAAATTTGCAGACGAGGTAGCGAACCCAATAACGACTATGCTTTCCCCGACAGGAAACTCAATGTGCACTTTAAGAGGGCGCGATTGCGTGTTCCAAACAAAGTGGGTGCGGCTGGCGCCAGGCCGGCGTCGAAGCAAAAGTTACTCAACGGTTACTCGGACGCACAGCTCTGACGCGGTCTTTTTTTTTCTTCACTTCAGTCAACGTGAGAAAGCATCGAATTGCAACCGTGGAAATACGGTACAAAACTACTGATCACTGTTCAGGGTGTGCCTATTATGCGCAAAAATAAAAAAATCTGATTTCTTGCTACCAAATTGGGGGTGTGCCTATTATGTGAGTGCCCCTATTACCGTAATTACTCGAATCTAACGCGCACCTTTTTTCCGGTTAAGCGAGTTCATAAATCGCATGCGCGTTAGAATCGAGTACAAAAAAAAATGAATACGGTCATTCCATTGCCATCGGCAATTCCAAAATGGCTGTCTCTTACGTGCGTCGGCATGGCGCATCGGCCATTTCTGCCTGTGTTTCCCATGTGCGGCACTTCGTACGTGTTCTGAGGAGTTCGTCATGTTGTAGTGCATTAGCATCGACGGCATGGAAGGACCGACTCCAAAACTCGACAAGTGCATCACGATGCCGCTTTTAAAAGAAAAGTCATCGCGTGTGCCGAAACGAACGGAAATCGGGCCGCATCACGGTCGTTCAGAGTTCCCGAAATGTGCGTGCGGGACTGGCGGAAATAAAAGCAGAAGATTGTCGACAGCAAAGATAAAGGCTTCAGTGGACCACAGCAGGATCGCTTTCCGCAAATTGAAGAGCTGCTTGGCGAGTATGTGATTGAGCAGTGAGCGGCACAGCGGCCTGTGACGACAGAACTGCTCCATGTGCAGGCTATGCAGTTAGCCTTAGAAAAAGAGCTAATGCGGAGCCAGTTTAAAGCGAGCAGGTGCTGGATAACTAACTTTATGAAGAGGAAAGGCTTTTCCCTCCGAAGGCGAACGGGCATATGCGAAAAGTTTCCAGAGGAGTACGATGAAAAGCTTCACAGTTTTCAGAGGTTCATCCTAAACTTGCGGCACAACCACGGCTACCTGCTTGGCCAATTGGGAATGCCCATCAGACGCCTTTTTACTTCGACATGCCTGGCACCACAACCGTCGAGAAGAAGGGGCGAAGCAAGTTCGCGTGCTGACATCGGGCCACGGTAAAACTAAAGTGACGGGAATGCTCCGTTGCACGTCAGATAGGCACAAGCTTCCCCTGTACCTCATATTTAAACGGAAGACGCTCCCGAAAGGAGTCGTTTTCCCGAGTAATGTGATCGTGCGGGCCAACGAAAAAAATGGGTGCGCGTTGCAATTGATGTCTTACTTTTTTTTTTCGTCGTGGAGACCGGGTGCGCGTTACAATCGAGGTTGCGGTAAAATTGAGTAAATACGGTATGTGAGTAAATATGGTGTGATGAGGTCCCCAACGCCGCTAAGAAGACAACGAAGTGGCGGTGAAAACGCACATCCACATGCATCTATCTTCAGCATTGCCTAGCAGCACGTGCTCTCGTGGCAGGCGCAAAAGAAGAAAAGAACTGGCCACATGAACTGGCCAGGCAGACAGAGCCAGAAGCTGGAGAAAAGAAGACGTGTTGGCCTGACCGGATGTCAACGTTCGGGAGGGCGACATTGTCGGGAGGCACCTAGTCGGACGTGAATGCCCGAAGGACTCCGTACACGGCACGTCTTCTGCTTCGGCACCCAGCGGGCACAGCACCTGCAACAACCCGCCTGGCTCGTCCAACAGCATCGCAGCCACCACGGCTGCTTCGTCGAGCCTCAAACGCGTGAGTGCGTCGTCTTTTTGAACTGTTCTTTAAAGGCGCTTCCCGCGTTTTTTCTATTTCCATGCTTTGTATTTGTGTTGTTTGTGCCTTCTTGTGTGATTGATTGATATGTGGGGTTTAACGTCCCAAAACCATGATATGATTATGAGAGACACCGTAGTGGAGGGCTCCGGGAATTTCGACCACCTGGGGTTCTTTAACGTGCACCCAAATCTGAGCACACAGGCCTACAGCATTTCTACTTCGATGAGAAATGCAGCCGCCGCAGCCAGGATTCGATCCCGCGACCTGCGGGTCAGCAGCCAAGTACCTTAGCCACTAGACCACCGCAGCGGGGCGTGAATATATTGTTATTAGACAATGTCCTACTAAAGCAGCTAGATAGGCGCCGAGAAAGAAGACGTGATTTCGGTGTAAGGCACAGCTCTTGTTCTCCATCTTGGCTTGCGCGTCGGCGCTGTGTAAATATGTCTTCAAACGCCTAGTTTCCCGTGTGCCTTCCTGTGCCTTCACATAACATTTTGGTGGAAAGTGCTGGGTTACAATACAACGCACGACGAAATTACGCAGCGGACGCCTAGTCCCTGCTTCCAAAATGTCCACCGGCAGCGACGCTTTGTCAACTGCCGCACCCAATGCATCAATGGCACCGACCTCCCGTTTTTCTCGTGGCTGCCGGGATGTCTGTAGACATTGTTCATGTATCTCGCCTTAAGCCTTACCACTAGGCAACATCATAGAAAGCACCGAGACGGTGCTTCAGCACCTGGGAGTCATGTTATGAGACAATGTCCCACTAAAACGATTAGATAGGCGCCGAGAAAGAAGACGTGATTTTGGCATAGGGCACAGCTCTTGTTCTCTATCTTGGCTTGCGCGTTGGCACTGTGTAAATGTATCTTCAAACGCCTAGTTTCCCGTGCCTTCACGTAACAATACGTTTGTGTGCCGTGCAAGTTGCATCCCCTTCCTTGCTGCCCCGAATCTCACACGACTTGTAAAGCCTGTTCCCCGATCCTTTATTTTATAACATATGGTATTTCAAGGTCCTGCAAACCACTTTCAATAAGGTTGTGTTCCAATATAGTGCTGAACAGCATATCACTATTATAAAGTACTCACTTGGCATAGAAACTATGGTCTTCGTGTCAAAGCACCAACTCGACCAACAATAACTCTTTTGAAGATACTCACTTGGACCCAAGTCAGGGACAGCAGCAGATCGTGGTGCATCTGATCCATTTTGTGTTACTTCATTAGACTTTCGTTGCTTTGGCTTGAAGCTGAATCTGAACTGGGATAGCTGCAAAGAAAAGAAGAAATAGCTGATTAATTAACACATATGAGACATTTTTGGCACTAAGCAACCTATATGTTACAGAGTTTGATGTCCCAAATCGTATTGTGGGTTATGAGGAACATCATAGCAAAAAAGTTTTAGATTATGTTTGACCACTTGCATTTATTCAGTTGCCCAAAAGGCCATGAGTGATGATACAGTGGCATTTCTACATTCCAACTACAACAGAATGCATCTTACGTGGCTGGAAGTAATTGCTTACAAGCACAGAAAAAGTATCATTTTTAGACAGTTGAAAAAAAGAGAACTTTAGGGGCTCTTTCTTTTGCTGGACACAACATTAATTAGAACAGACAGACAAGAAACCAAGAAGTCCGCCGCGGTGGAACAGTAACCATGGTGCTCGGCTGCTGACCCAAAGGTTGCAAGTTCAATACCAGCCGCTGCGCTCGCATTTCGATGGAGGCGAAAAATAGTAGAGGCCTGTGTACTGTGCGATGTCAACGCATGTTAAAGAACCGCAGATGGTCAAAATTTTCAGAGCACCACACGTCAGCGTCTCTGATAAATATATGGTAGTTTTTGGACGTAAAAACCCAGATATTATTATTATTATTATTATTATTATTGTTACAGTAGAATCTCGCTGGTACAAATTCGAAGGGAGCACGCAAAACATTTGTATCATCTCAAATTCGTATGAACCAAAAGCAAGTCAAGGCTGATCATGAAGATGAACAAGAACTTTATTGGGGTCCATGAAGTTCTGTTGAACTCTCCTGCTTTCACCACCTCTCAATAAAGTGCAGTGAATTTCTAACTCATGTTGCTGGCGCTAACAAGCGCGTTCACACTTGGCATCAAAAGAAGCAAAAGCGGCAAAACTTATTAAAAATTCACTCGCTTCGCTGCTTAAGCGGCCAGCAAAACACGCTGCGAAGCCAACACGAAAAAAATCAGTGCCAGAAAATTCACACTCGAGAATTCAAGCGAAAACGCCAGAGCAGCCGCAAAACAACGTCTGCGCATGTTGAAAATGTTCACATTCATTCTGCCCTTCGTATACATGCCACCGCTGCCATCTTTGCCACTTGAAAATTTATTCCTGAGCAATAAAACCCCTACCGAGTTCTAGTTATGCATGAAAAGCATCGAAAAGAAACAGTTTACACTTTTACACGTTATTTCGGGAGAAACGTCAGAACAAACGACATGAGTATACGCACCGGCAGCGGCAGTGACAGATTCAGCCGGCAGTGCAAAAGTGAGATATGTTAGGGCATGCCGACTAGCTGCTGCTGCACCTTCTTCTACTGCCAGTGTTCACAGTGACCGTGATTCAACCAGGCTGTCAATGAATGCGTCTTTTTCAAGGTCGTGAGCTTTGTCGTGCTGCACGGGTAGTTCGCGATTGCATCGACGCAAGCCACCGCCGACGCCTTTACCGCCATGTTGAATGTATGAACTGGTTGTTTCAATTGGTTTAAATCATGTGGTTCGAGAGCTAGCGCAGCCAGTATAGCCAAAGCCATAGCAGAAAGGCGATCCACTATTGCGTGATGGCAAAATTGGTCTTAGATCGATTTTATTGTGTCGGCCTCGCGGCGTGGTTTTCCGAACACTTTATTCCGATAGCGAAGCGAGAAAATTTCAGTGAGTTTTGCCGCATTCGCTCCCTTCGAGGCCAATTGTGAACAGGCCTCCCTCCCGCAGACAAGCCACGTTGCGCCGCTTGCATGCAACGGTCAATTGCACATTCGTATCATGCGTGGTTGCAGGCAAAAGCATTTGTATAACGCCGAATCACAGCGTATTTTATATAATGTAGTCTATTTGAAGTAAACTTAAAATTAGTATCATCGCGAAATTCGAATCAACCGTAATTGTATCATCGAGATGCTATTGTAATAGTATTATTAAGAAAGCAAAGTACAGGGGATCTTATTTGTAGTAATGATGGTAAGGGCATGACCTGTGTGCCACTGCACGTTCCTTAGGTATTTAAAGGGCGACTCACCAGGTTTGACAATTTTGAGATGACAAACGGAATGTATAGATGAGGCGTTCACGATAACGTCTGCCAAAATTTGCAACGCTACGCGCCACAGAAATGGGTCAAATTTCAAGATGAACGCGGGTCCCCCTTCCTTTTGCCGGCGCGTGCCCAGAGAATGAGGGCATGACGTGCACGTATGAATGGTCCTACGTACATAGAAATGCAGTGACATTGGCCCTCTACGTAGATGACTCTGGTTTCGATGGCATGCCGCCGCTTTGGCCGGGAGGATTTGCAAGTCCCTGTCATCCGGCCTATTAGGAGGCCGTGGTACGGGTTTTGGAACCTCACTGCTGGTTTGGTGATGACTCTAGTCCGTTCGTGGCTCGGAGGTGCCGGGACGGTGTGGGTTGTCGCGTGCCCATGTAATCCAGCCTAGCAGGAGCCGCGAGCGCTCGAGCCACTGAGCCCCCTCCACCTCCACGTGGTGCGTCACGGGCAATGTGAGAGTGTCTTAGATACCTGAGCGGCTAAGAGGGGAGGGGCTCAAGCCGCTGACCTGGAGTCGGTGGGTCAGCGGCTGCAGTGAGGGGGAAACATAGTGGACCTACATTTGTCATGCTCCCACCAGCAACCGGCAAATTTAAGCGCAGGCTGCCAACCCCCTCCTGCTGCGGTACGGGGGATGTGTTGCAAAGGCCCACAGGCCTGAGTCCGCTGAGCAGTGCGTTGGTTTGCACCAACGCGATGTCACGTTGCCACCAGTAGCACGTGACATGGCGAAAATTATTTAACACGACCTGCTTAGTTTAAGTATTTGTTGCTTGAAGAGATTAATAAATCACGATAAATAATGAGACATAATAAGGGAATGTGAGCATTGTTTTTTATTTTTTTTTTACCGTGAATTGCAACGAGATTCGGGGCTAATGTGCCGGTGTTCCACATGCGTTCGTGTCTCCGCGGTAAGCACATCGAGCCGACGACAGCTGTAGAACGCTCCTACGCGTTGGTGCATTCTTTGTGCACATCTTTTCTACCGTGTCTAAGCCAGCGTTTCCAGACCATCCCGCAGAAACAGGCTGTAGACCTCAAAACAACACTGGTCAACAAGAACAACAAAACAAAAAAATGACGCTCGCATGCATGGTGGTTGGGCTTGTTCGGACACGGCATGCGCATGTGACCTCTTGGTCGGATGCCCGGAAGAGGGGGGGGGGGGGGGGGGGTAGGGGAGAGATTTGGCTTATGAAAGCTAGGCGGAGGAGCAACAAGGGTTTCGAGCTCGCCCCCTCTCATCCTTGTTTCGTGCCGCTTAAAAAAAAAAAAACAGTTTTCTCAGCTCGTAATGAACCGATTCAAAAACTTTTTGTGACAAAATGTTCCTCATCAGGCACCCAACAACTTCCATCATCTAACTAAAATTTGGTATGGGACCTGGTGAGCGGCCCTTTAAGGTCTAACCAGCATTTTGTAATGTGTCTGCTACCAAAGATTCGGTCTACTGCAACTTGGATGAAAATCTATTCACAGTGGCCATATGGCTTCTCGAGCACTATTATAGAGTCATACTCTACCATTTCAAAAATGATGAAACAGACACGCAGCTACCAATCAAGTGTTGCTACAGTCACATTTTGATAGTTTTGCCCTTATTTTTATTGTTCAAGGGCAGCTGGCTTGGCCTGCTGTGTACGCAGTAAATGGTATTTGGCTGAGCTGTTTATGAAAGCAATGCTTAGTGAAGGGCTGGTCAATTTACATCCATAAAAAATATTGCAGGGCCCTTAAACGTGGCTATCATTAAGTAGTAAATGAATACGTGGATGGCCAGACCTATAGAGCTGCACTCAGCTCCTTAAAAGACAACTTTACTGTTTTTCATGACGCTGATCCTTGCACCTCCTAACTACACCAGGAGTGTTCAATTGATTTGCATGCACACATACCCACAAGGACAAAAGAGAGAGAGAGAGAAAGCAGATAAATGAACTCCGGAACTTTCATTTCATTGTGTACAAGATGCACAGTGGGCTAAGCACTAGTGCCTACATGTAACACCTTTCGTTGCTTGCTATCTCAAAAGAATAGAATAAACTGTCACCTCGCAGTGCTGATCGAACATAACCAGTTTGGTGCATAAGCTGTGGAGTAACAATGAAAGTTTCATTATCTATCAGCGTGGCACATTGAAAGCTGGCAGCACATCATCGCATAACTTTTAGATAACTTTGTTTGAATAATTACCTTTGCCTTGAAGAAATTCTTAGTCCTCTTGTCGCCTGCACCACGCTCGTCTTCCTGAAAAATAAATTAGTTAACTCCAACCCTCCCAGAGAGGAACTGGGCTCATCCACTGTGTGTGTGCTCCTCTGAAAACTGAGTTGCGCTCGTCCAAGATTAAACAAGCATTCCTGCAATGCTGCAATCAAACTATCCCAATTCTTTCCGTTGGATTTTATATGGCTTAAGCAGTGAAAAAAAAAATGAAGTAAGCTCAAAGCTTCAATTTTGATGAAGAATGGTTGCGATAATAGTAACATCCTTCAGACACCAATCGAAGAGGTGGAAAATGTTTGTTTTTCGAAGCGCTCTGGACCGTGACACAAACAAAAAGTAGAGCTCTCCATGTCTGGAGCAGCCGTTCTTTGTGGAACTCTCGAACAGAGATGGGTGAACTGCATTGCCATATTAGTAGTGGATGCACATGTACGCAGTTTCAAGTTCAAGTTTATTCATTATTATTGCATGTAGAAAAAACGAGTTTCATAATACATACAGAATCAGGAAGTCCCGAAGTACGAGACTGTCAGGGGGACTTCCTACATTTAGTGGCACACATAAAAAGTAAGAGCAGTAATTGAGAGCGAACAAATAAAAAACGTAATCAAAACAGATCGGTCCATACTAAAAAAGAAAAATATATTTCCTATAGCAGCCTTATGCAGTCGACTTCCATTAATATGAAGTTCACGGGTACCGCAAGAAACTTCGAATTAAACAAACTTCCAATTAAGCAAAATGCACAAAAACTGCACTTTTATTGCTTCAAGCCTGGCAGTTCTCAAAGAAAATAGTTTGTCATCTTCTCCTACCGAGCCTGGCTACGGCTAGCAAGTTTTCCAAGCACTACACATGTTGAAGTGCTTCTTCAGCATTGCCTTCTTCAAAAAAACATAAAAACCATAGTGCAAGAACAAGACCCACAGCAGCGTCGGTAGTCCTCGGTGGTGGTTCGTTTCTACGTCCTCTTTCACTAGCCGAACCATCTGCACAATTTTTCTGTTCGGCAGCAGACCGCATGTATCGACGCTGCTGTTCATGTCAGCGAATTTTTCAGAACTGACATCACTAAGATGGGCCCCAAAACAACCATCGCCGAGTTCACCTGTTAGCACTTGGTGAAATTCGAGATCGAGTTAGGCTTAATGCCATACTTTCGTGCAATGTCTTGCTTGGCGGTGCCTCCCTGGTCAACTTATTTCAAGGCTTTCGACTTTGGTCACCAGTTCAAGCGTTCGGTAGGGGTATCATTTGTAATAAGTTTATTGCAAATGAACAAAGGTTCCTTTAACAATATGTTTTTCATGTTGTGTTTAAAAGATTGCAGTGACCGAGATTATTTTTATTGAAGAGTTATGTGATTACAAAGATTAATACCATAAAAGCGAGCTGCAAATCTGTCATAGTTCTATCTTATTTTGGGTAAAAGAAAGTTATTGTGCTCTGGAAACCTGGTATTGTTGTTGTTGACAAAGGCATGGTGAGGAATACTATCTAATGATATTTCACGATGAATGAGATGGTATGTGATGAGGGACAATCTGTAATAAGACAACTCTTGAATCGGTAGAATGAGCAGCTGTTGATAGATGGGTATAGAATGGGAATAAAATGGGCTATACATCATTAATTTTTTTTGCCACAAGTCACTACCTCCACCTGCAAGCTTTTTACTTTTGCACAAAAAAAAATTAACATAAAAAAAAACATGAATGCTATGTTTCATTTAATGCTATGTACCGTATTTATTAGAATATAGGTCGACATTCCTTTTCCGAAAATGTTGGTTATAACCAGCTATTGATTTATATTCGTGACCAAAGAATCTCAACCTATATTCACGATAAAACCAAGCAAAAGCGCTGAGCTTATGGCTGCCACACCTGCTGTTCTTCAAGCAGTCCCTGCTGCATACGCATGTTCCATACCATAAAATCTTAATTAAAGACCCTTCTACTCCTTTCAGACTACCCAAGTAATTGAAAGAAAAGTTATGCAATAGCCGCGCACCACCCCCGCGAAATTCAGCCGCTCCACCGTGTTTGCAATGAAACCCATGATTTCTCTAAGTATTGGCCGTGAAGTCCCTAGCTCGCTAACCGTGCTTCCGGTACTGTCTTCGGGCACGCAGCCGCACTAGCACTGGCCTGAGGCCTCGCTGCCTCGCCGTCGCCGCCCCACGCTTTGTTCAATGTACGATCGGCGTTACGGGGTGACCGTTCGAATTTGCTTTAGGCTCTGGGCCATGCTCCCTACCAGGCTGCAGAAATTAGGCACCGCCTTCTTCTAACCACCACCACCATTTGGTCGTGCGTGGTTGTGATGATGTCACGTCGGCAGAGCTACACAGGTGACTTCAAGTGCCAAGTGATACTTTTTACCGAGGACTCAAGCAATTGTGCCGTGCAGCGCGAGTTCTGCGTAAATCAGACATAATTTGGGGTTGGCGAAAGCAGCGGGACCGTCTGTTTGCGTGCGAATGTCGGCATCGTGCCTTTCGAGGCCCAGCAATCAGCGATGGTGGCAGCAAGGAGGACGTCGTTTGGGAAGTTATGGATGCTTGCGAAGAATCCGATGACGACATCATCTTGCACATCTGACAAGATGACGGCACCGAAAGCGATTAGGGTGCTGAGTTATGTAAATAAAGGTGTGCTGCGTTTCAATCTCTGCTTCTAAAGAAGAAAAAAAAAACATTGGTCGACCTATATTCGAATATTTTTTTTCTCTAGTAGAACACTATAAGTAGGAATTGACCTATATTTGTGCCCGACGTATTTTCAAGTAAATACAGTAACCTAGGAATGTTTACAGTCACCAACTACATTCACTGCCGTAGCCCCCCCTTCCCCCCCCCCCAAAAGTGCACTTAAACTCCTCGATTTCCGCCCTGCTGCCAGAGAAAATGAAATCAACATACAGGAAACCCCCAACTTAATAGCTTCTCACATATAAACTCATACCTCATTATAGCAGTTGCATCTTACACAAAAATAAGTTTGTTATATCTGAAAATTCGTTATGAAGTTTTATTCCCAGCACTGTATCTATTGCAAGGCTATCTTTCATTTACTTCATTATAACCAATAATTTGTTGTATCCATGTTCGTTATATAAAGGTTTAAGAGTATGAACCTTTTTAACAAGGCTCACAATCTTGCACCTACAAAATAAAAATAAAAAATATATTTAAAGGAGCAACGATGAAGCATAGGTTGTGGTGATAGTAGGTAGAAAGCAGCATGTGCAGGAGTAGTACTCACTGTGGCGGCCTTCACAGCTTCTTCCTCACTTTGGAGCAACAGGAGAGCTTCTTCCTCGGGCAGCTCCTTAACAGCCAAGCTAAGGCGGCCCAGGCTCTGCATGCCTTCAGAAGGCGGAGTTGGAGATGCCCCACCTCCTTTGGAGACAGCGGTCTGAAGAGTGGAGTCTTCTGCCATTACACTACCCGACGGTGAAGGTGTGGCCTGTGTGCCAGTAGGTGTCACATCCTCTTCAGCTCCATCAAGACTGACCAAGGCAGCCGCTGCCGTGTCCTGCACCTGAACTTTTTCTGGATGTCGCAGCTCTACTTGTACAGCCAGTGGGTCAAAAAAGCGCAGTTCGCAGGGTGCAAGGCCGATGCTTGTTGAAGAGTTGCTTTGTGGCGGGGAGAAGCTACCATCCAAAATTGGTGATGCTTGCTCCACTGTGTAAGTTGTGGAAATATGAGAGGGCGTGTCAGATGCCTTTTAACAGGTACGTATTGGCAAATGAAATAGAATGCTCAAAGAAATTAAGCAGTTATAAAAGAAGTAACTGAAAGTACAGAAAGTGAGACATCAAAGATTGAACAAAACAAACAAGGCTGTATTGACAAATTATACACTTCATTAAGGGCAGCACTTTTTTAGCAATCTTGGTAAGGTGCGGGACATCACACAAGAACTCACCATTTCGGTCCACCATTTTTCAAGCCATTCGTAATCAAAAAAGAAAAGCAAGCTAGTTGGTATTGCTTCATTCTTAAATAAGAATGGTAGAAATAATGTCTTTGGTGATGCCTCTCTCGTCTTTGTCTTTGTAATGGACGTTAAACCCCATATGGTGTTGTCTTCACAGCGCTTCCATTATACAAAAATCCAGGTACAGCTAAACTGAGGTCTCCGGGCTCACAGAAAATGTGGCAGCCATGTCACGTTAGACCGGAAGTTCATGTGATGAATTTCAGCAAATGTGCATCACAGCGAAAGCAAATCAGGAAATATAACAAGGCATCTCAAATGGCATCTTTTGAAAAAACACAGTTTAACAATATTTATTGATGCTTCAATTAAAGCCAAAAAAATGGGCACTGGAGCTGTCCCTAACAAATGAAAACAGTGTACACTCCAGCAGCGATGATTTGTATCGAGCGTGTGAAAGCAAGCAGAGAAAAAGAAAGCAAAAGAGGAGAGCCAAGGAAGGTCAACCAGGCAAACTCTCGGTTGGCTACCCATTGCTGTGGCAAGGCAAAACAAGAAAAAGAAAGAAACAATACTGCAAGCATACAAGATGGTGAACAGCATAGCGACAATAGCTCAGGAACCTAGGCTGAGGAACTGTAGCAACTCACACAACTGCCACTTCCATGACTATAGTGCAGCCACCATAGATATTTCATCATAGAACCATGCCAATTCATGTACCACATGCATTGCATTACTATATACCTGGTGGTGCGGAAGCCTGAGGAGATTCCAGGATAGAGTCCACAAGTGGTGCTGATGCCCGAGGTGATACTGATGCCTGCGCTGTCACCAGAGGGCCATCACCACAGGATCCTGCAGACACTCCAAGTTGCTGTGGGATCAGAGGCTGTTTGGGGGACTGCGGTGGCGGTCTCAGGTTACTGCGCCGGTGGTGTCGGTGATGGTGATGATGGCGATGGCGCATTGCATGGCGATCAGCGAGAGGTGCTGGTGCAATTTCTTCATCTCCACCAGCAGATATTTCAGACCTGACAAACACGGACAAAGAAAGCGAACACAAATTACACAAAATAAGCAGGCAATTATCAACTGGCACAGTTGCATAAAAAAAAAGGATCAACGTTTCTTTACAAAGGGAGAGCAATGAATGCCGTAGCAACAAATTGGAATTATATAGGTAGGCTAGCAGCTCACTTTTATAGCATTCAATCTGGCATAACTAAACAAAACACCGGAGTAAGAAAACATCCAGCAAAGCTGCAATTGGGGTTGCTGGAATGGCAATGTAATGTAGTTGCACTGACCAAAATGCACGTAGGACCTAACAAAAAAAAAAAGACAGGGCAAATGTTAGACACTTGCCTTGTTCTCTTTCTTTCGCTAGTCCTACGTGCATTTTCGCTCACCTTTACCACAGCAACAAGCGAAAGGACCTTTGTGCTGTCTGACACTTCGTAGCTAACTGAGCAGTGAGACTAGCCATATAAAGGTATAAGGCATTGCTGATGCCCGTAAGAAATATGAGCAACTGTACCCGGCTGAGCAATCTGCAGAGCCATGTCACCATCCCTTTGTTAAATGGGCTTTTCGTGCAATGAAATATGACTGGCATGCTTCCTCTCTGCTAGATAAGCAAGCGTTCATTGCCTGTGCTTGCATGCTTGTAGACAGACAGGCAGAAAAACTATTAGCGAGTGTGTTTGCCCCCCCCCCCCCCCCCCCCCCCCCGGATTCATGGACCACCACGTGATTTCACATCACGTCTCTTGCCATGCCTCTTGCCCCAATGAAATTGGCAACCGCAGCAAGCTGCAACGCTGGGTCCTCAGACAAGTCCAGAACGTCCTAGTCCACCTCCGCTGGAGATGGCAGGCTGTCTCTGCGGGAGAGGATCAGCAGGGCAGCCAAAAAGGATACGGGAAAGGGTGTCGTGAGGCTCGCTGCACAAAAAACATTGCGGGGAAGTACTACAGTATAGGGAAAACAGCTAAGGGGAAGGCAGAGTGCGGATCTAGAGACATTGGGAGTGGGTAAGATGAGATTTGGAGAGGGTATGGCCAACAGTTCGAAAGAAGTATTTGCGTGAGCTCTGCAAAAGTGTGTGCCTGCTCACTCGACAAGCCCGAATTGAGGCTGTCCTGAGCCTGGCAAATTAATCCTCAAGCCAATTAATCGGCAGCCTCATTTCCAGGGTTCCCTGAATGAGCAAGCACCCACTGGAGCTCTACCATGCGTCGTAAATTTCGCATAGGGGTGTTCAGTAACTGCCAGACAGGGGGATGTATCCTAGCCCTGGCATAGTTGTACAGAGAAGTTTTTGAGACAGTATGTATTGTGCGTCAAATTGTGCAAGGGCTAGGGTGATGACAGCCTCCTCTGCTTCTTAGCTGTAGAGCCTGAAGGAAGGCGGCGAATCAGGGGATGTGATAGAACAAGGTTGTAAGCAACTCCTACAGCTCTAGGGCTGCACAAGTGGCGTCTACCCAAACGGCATCCTGAGGTTGTCTGTAACTCTTGTGAACGACATTTGTGCAATGTGTCAAGGAATGGCCACAAAGGCTGGCTGATTAGCAGGTATCTTTATGTGAAGGGAGGCAAGAATATTGTGGCCAGTGGCACTCGTGGAAAGTCCTAAATACTGTGTCTGAAGATGTGCCTCAACTAGCTCAAAAAAGGCGTTATGCATGCCCAGTTCAAACAGTTCAGCTGTGCTTGTGCTACGAAAAAGGCTCAAAGCTGCCTTAGTTGCGAGGTGAGTCATGGCATTTACGCATTCAGTTTCTGTGAGATTCAGCTTGAGATATCGGTGTGGCATATAAAATGCAGCTTAACATGAAAGCATGTACAACTTTCATGTTGTCCGCTTTGTCTAAACCCTTGTGCATGGAGGATACGCGGCGCAAAAGCTGCAACACAGATTCCGTGGAAGCCTCAAGTTTTTTTGAGGGCGTGGTCAATTCATTCGGGATCCTGCAAGCAGACTCGAAGGACGCAAAGGGCGGGGGTGAGAAGTATGGCAGTTCCTTATGAAGTGGTTTTAATGAGCGAGTTAGCGGCCGATTTTGGTCTCATAAGCTTGCACTCGCACATGGAACATACGATACGTACGGTAATGTTATCGATTTGAGCTTTTTATGAAACTTGATATCAAGGTGACAGCGGCAACATCAAAAAAGTCCTAAGGGTGATCATAGAACTGATATCACAATAACAAACAGAAAAGAAATGTGTGCTTAAGACATCAAAATAATTATCAAATTCAGCAATGGTACAGGTTTAGACGCAGCTTTATATGCGGACAGCAACTTAAACTTTCCTTACAGTCAAACAAGCAAACAAAAACTGTTTGCTGGTGTTTGTAGGCATAAGGAGGCATATTAATGCAAGCCACAAAGTAGCAATGTTTTCTGTTGAACACATTTTTACCATATCAGCCACTCCTTTTTCAATAAAACGAAAGAGCAATAACACATCGCCCAGCATAATGTCAAGGTTGTGGTTTAGCAGTGTGGTTTTTTTGGGTCAGTTGGTACATGATGAAAAGTGAAGGACCCTAGCAAGTTTCAAATGCGAGCACAAGAAAAAGAAAGTAATGTTCATGACCAGCCATATCCAGTGTCTCACTTTCTTCTTACTGTGCTTACATTTGAAGCTTGCTGAAACACTTCACTTCACATAAAGGTTAAGTGGCCACTTTACCTCATTTTCCTTGTGCCTCATAATTACTACACTTGGATTAAAAACAGCACACAAAGCTCTCGTGCATTTTTTTTACACCTCTTAATATTCATACAGTTATGACCAACAAACTATTGAGCCCTCAACCAAATTTTCTTGTTTCATTCAAACCAATACTTTAACATGTAGTGTGCCACAACACTGTTTCAGGAAGCATCCACAACACAACACAGGTCACAGTAGTAGAGAAAAAAAAAGGAGGGAAGCCAGGCCAATACAGTAACCATTGAATGAAACAAAAAAAAATGGCCACATTTATAGCTTAGAATTTTAGTGCCTATTTTAGCTGCATACTACAGGATCCAATTTTCACACTCACAGACTACTTTCTATACCTATGAAGGAAAAGCTAAATATGATGAAAATAGTATGAAGAAGGATGTTTAGGTAAAGAACAATAATGATCTTTCACACTACAGCATTGCACAGTCAGGCATAAAAAAAAAGCAAAGCCTTTCTTTTTACACTGCAATATGTAAAATGAGTAACTATTGGAGTGAAAAATTTTTTAGCTGAAGCTAGAACACAGCACATATGATTTCCGTGAGTGGCATGTCAAAATATCATCCAACCAGAAAACTGAACCTAGGCATAAAAATAAAATAACAAATATAAATTTGTTCCGAGTGAGAATATTCTATTCTGATCGACTATAAATGATTAAAATGCCTTGTAATTTACCTGCTTAATACGAATATATGCACCATTGTTTCTCACAATTACTAAATCTTATTAGGCCCACAAAACATTACAGAAACCATATATCATATGCAACAACAAGTGTACTCGCTGCTTCATCTATAGTATCCCTGAAGACGCTATCTAGCAGCTTCAGTGCAATACATACGCTCATTTGCTGTAAAGCACATTTGAGATAGATGAAGGTTGCAGTTCGATCCTGGTCCCGACACAATGAGAGCAACCACATTCAGTGTCCCCCCCATTAATTTACAGATTGAGAGGAGAAAAACTGTACTGCATTGGCACTGCAGTAGTTTGCAAGCAATAAGAGACTCATGCAGCAATGGCACTTTAAGACTCATCTTAAAGACTCATACACTGCGTATCTGTGAACACATAGTAGTTGAACTAGGAGCTTTTGACTTGTCCTCACGAGCAAAAATAAATTGGGAAGTTTTACAAGCTCAGAGCCCTGTGTCTGTCTGGTTGAAAAAATATTTTGTCAACTAATGACGATACTGACTCCTTAAACAGCCTTTCACAATGGACACATCAGCAGAGTCATGTGTTATCTGTCACCAACGATGCATCTACATAGCTCAGTTTCTATGCACGTTGCTTTGCCACTGCACAAATGGTTTCTAAATCAAAACTAGAAACATGCGCAGGGCCACTGCCCAGGCAGAAACATGCCCAGGCCTAGGGCCATAGACTCCATTAAGACTTTGCATTACAATTGTTTACACGAACGAAACTCAGCAAAGCAACTGACACTTTTTCTTCAAACACTAAGGTAACCTTTTCAATGTCACCGCCTGCATGAAGACAGTATTTGCAGAGCATGATTTATAAAGAGGAGAGCCATCAGTATGTGCTTCTATATAATTAATAAGATTGTGATGGAACACAGCTTCACAAGATAATAGGCCTCCAGTACACCTTGCAAGGGTTGGCAGATGGTCATGGAAGGCAGAGCTTAGCCTCGACCACATAGTGAAAGCTGAAAAGCAAGGCTTGAGAGGAAGATAAACTTAATTTGATCATAGCTTCCTTGATATAAAGTGCATCACTTAAATTATGGTGCTACTGATTTACTCTAATTACAGCCTAGTTCATGAAATTTCCAGACACAATTTCAGAGACCCTTTAAAAGTCACAGCAGCTTCCACATAATGTGCCTTCTCAGTACTGCTTTGGAGTCAGAGGCATGTGCAAACAAACCTGGTATCATCAGAGCGTGCCACACTGCCAGTGTCATCAGTGTCAACTTCTTGAAGGCGCTCATTGTCTGAGGCAGCCACTTCAGTGCTCCAGGCGTCACTACCTGTGTCACCACAAGTCTCGTGGGTTGACTGAAAGTGTGTCTCCAGGAGCTGCATTTGTGCGACCAGGTTCACTTGGTCCAGCATCTCTGAATCACTCGCCAGTACATCAGTGCTCCATGTGTCACTCACAATCGACTTCGTCTCATCCCCTGGAAAGAAAAAATTCAAAGTTCTCTTTTCTCTCAAGAGTCATTCATTACCATGTTTCATCCGCACGTTAACTCTTTCATTGCCATGCCTATTCAAATCAATCACCAGTGATCGACGCTTTTGATCATCGATATTGGCATGCTGAATTTACTTCTCCTGCACCGAGAGTTTTCTAGCAGTTAATCCAGCTACTCAACTTTCAGAATTAATTTGAATTTGCCCGTTTTGGCAACATGGTGATTTTTGACAGACCTTTGCACAAGCCAGTGTGCGCATGTTATTGGGAAAATGCATTTCGCTGGTCAACTTGACAGAAGTACGTGCCCATCATGGTTATGCTACAGTAACATCAAAGTTCTGTAATAAAAAAAACCTTTGAAAGTCAAATATCAGATTAAGGTGTTAGCCTTGTAATCTAAGAGCATTGAGCAGTAATAATTGCCAGAAATTTATGCCAACAATTATAATAGAGAGCTGTTGCAGGGAATCGGGTAATTTTTTCTACCAAAAATATTTCCAAAGGTCTGCCACATCTATGAATTGTGAAGGTGGCCTTCTCAGCCAGTTTCCAGCAGCTTTGGTTTTGCTTGTATAGTTATATCAGACACAGGGCCGCATCTAGTGTGACTAGTCGCTCCTATAGCAGCAGTGTCACGGGTGCACTTGTGCGCACCTGCGCTGCAAAAACACGTGCCACTCGAAACTGTCCAGCAACTGCACCTGAACTGAGTGGGGACGAGCTTAGAGTCCAAGGATGACAGAACCTCACCTTCAAGTTTTATGGCGACAATGTTTTGTGTCAGCCCGAGACATCTGCAGCTGTTCTCGGGTTTGTATTGTTTACGGCCCCAAGTTGTCTCCTCCGTCACAAGTGCATAGTCGCTGACCTTTGTGCACAATCTTATAGCTACTCTGGCTAGGTGCGAAGTCCATACAAAACTGTGGCACGGTGTGCTGGCACTCGCAGCAGAGCTTCTCCTCAGGATAACAAGGCCACCTGAGCACATCTTGGCCCTGACTACGTTAGTACTGCGCACAATATTATTATTACTTTTTTATGCAACGTGAAAATATGCAAAGAAATGTGCTTTGATGCATATATTGGAACGCCAACCTATGGAGAGTGAGGTGGCCCATGGAAAGTGGTGGCGCCAGATGAAATAGCAAAGTCCATTGGACATCTCATTTATAACGGGATCATTCACATCACGGGCATCCATTTATACTTGAACACCTGCAGAGCTCTCATTGAAAAAAAAATTACTGCGAAAAGTGTGTACGAGTTCACTTGTGTTTCAAAAAAAAAACACAAAAAAAAACAAGGAATGCCTCATTGCATGGCATGAGCAATGAAGCAGCACCTCGGTTCCGATTTTCTTTGCCTATGTGAATGAAAACACTTTGTACACCATTTATTATTTTTTACTGTTCCTGAGTTGTTTATCCTGAGAGTGTATAATCTGAATTTCTTTGTTTTAAACATTATTGTATTTATAGTGTTTTTTATTACACTGTTTACCAGCTGGCAACAAAAAATTACACACTTTTCAGATTTTTATTCAGTCCAAAATATTTTTGTTGCTCTAAAACCTATATTTTCTTGGAAAGAGCATTTCATTGCGCAAAATTTGGTATGCTGCAATGTCTGCTGGTGCACTTTTCAAACTGGCCAAAACTACCTTCCCGAGACATATGAATAATAAACATTTTCGTGCGGTAACGAAAGAGTTAAACAATAATCATTCCCCAAAACAGTTGAACCTCAGGGTAGTCAAGCTACACCTGATATAATAATGTATTTACTTTGAACTTATTGTTAACATGCATGCACTGCGTGATGTCAATGACAAAAAATTAGCAACTCCTAAAGCTTCGTCTTTAGGAGTTGAACGCGATAGGGATATCCTGTTCCTAGTGCCTACTTCAAACACTTAGTGCATGAAACTTTTTCGAACTTGCAATGCACCCACTACCTTGAGGGGGGGGGGGGGGGGGGCACGGCTTTGGGGTCACAAAATATGGCAAAAAAAATCGAGTTTTGAAAATCAAGTTTTCAGTATCTGTAACCCTTCTATCTGATTCCAAAATATCTACACTGAAAACCGCACAAAAGTGCTTCGAAAGATTCATTTCACCCTTCTAGGTATCGAAACTTTTTCTGGGAATCGCAAGAAAACATCAAATTTCAAAAAATTATAGCTTCGCGGTGGCGCTACTGGAAGCCGGCTTCTTGGGCTCATCGGAAAGAGAATTTCTGCATGTTCGAGTTTCCCGCCTCAGCTGGCTCCTCCCTTTAAAAACAAGCGCACAGAAAGAATCTTTGAAGGTTATTTCGAGGCCCCTGATTAGCTGTGGCCCCCATGTTGCCTCAGCTCGCCTCGTTATTGGCCCGATGCTCGCTCCGGGAGATCGTCATCTAATGCTCGTGCATCCCGAGGACATGGCTCTCGAAAATCGCTACTTCGGGACGTGGTCACGGCTTTCCGATCACTTATGATATAATTATGCTTTACTTAGGAGCTGTAAGCGGATGCACGATCAGATTACTACAACCGGGCGCGCGGTCTATGAGCGCGGCACGTCATCAGAGTCGTCTTTAGGCCTAACTCCGCTGACGGCGAGACTGCGGGCAAAAACAACCCGCTAGCACACTCGTGGTGATGTGCTTCTTCGCAAGCAACAAAGCACATCACTCGCTAGCTCCTCGAACCACGGACGGGCACTTTACGCATCGGCAGCGAACCCCACAGTCAAGCTTGCCACCCCCCCCCCATGCCCCCCACCACCAAGGATCGCTCAGCACAACAGCTAGCAGTTTCGCCCGTCGACACTCGAAAATTCGATACCAAGCGCAGTGCGCGCTGATTTTTTGTCATAGTAGCTACACCTTTCGCGCATCATCACCGAATGCCGCTGTCAAGTGCATCACGCACGGGCTGTACTGTCCACGTGGCCGCGCACTCCACGGTCACATGGAGTGCTGTCAATAAGCTTTTGTGATGCGATTTAGGCGTGCTTAGAGCCGTGCTTGGTATCGCCACAAGCGTCTATGAATGTTCCGAAACAATGAAAGCCTTGTAGATTAGTGTTTCTGCGACTGACCGTATGATGATGTGTTTCACGGCTAGAGTGGCGAAAGAGCATGTATGAAGCAGGGCATGAATTTTTATATGTTCCTCTCGCGTCATTAAATAAACTGCAAAAAAATTCCTGTGCCACAGCCTCCTGCCCATAACTTTGTTATTTGCAAAGAAAGCATAGACTGTCGTGGTATGAGCCATTTTTCTGATGCAATAAACCTCTCTCTATATAAAGAATGTTCAGTGATTACTAGTAATCAAGTACCTGATTAACATATGACAGCTTGAATACAAGAAAGGTGTGTAATCATTTCAGTATATGGTCTTATTCAATTACAATCTTTTCTGCCATGCCTATCACACCCCTGCTTCATACAAAAAACTTGGTGGTTTGAAATCCATATTTGTTCTTTGTAAATCAAGAAAAGGAGGTTATGAAAAAAAAAAAGCAACAAAGGCACACTGGGCAGAGGCCACATGCCTGAGAAGTCAAATATCACAAGACACACCTGATATCACAATTTTTAGGCATTATAGAGACATAAAAAGAAGTTGAAACTTAAAAAGCAGTTTTATCAATGTACTATCAGCGTCAAATGAAACTCGACCAGCGGCAAGCCTTTGCGATGGTATAGTGCGTGCCGTCCAGCTATCACCACGGACAGCCTTACGTATATGCGCAGAGCTGCCGAACAGTATGCGCGCGCCTGTCAACGTTGATAACTGGACGGTGCGCACTACACCATAAACAAGGCTTGCCGCTGTTCGGGTATCATTTGACGCTGATAGTACTGTTTTTTTGGCATTAGGCTCAGCTCGTGGAGCAGATATCTTGGCAACCATTTCACAGATTTTGATTCCGTTTGTTTTGTAACTCTCCTTGAACCATGCTTCAGGGGGCTTCAGCCCCCTTCAGCATGTTGGTAATTACTGTATTGGTAATTACTGTGCATACAGTAATTACCAACTATTTTTGTCATTCTATAAATCTTCAAGTGCTTCCACGAGGTTTAATGAAGAAATAATTTGTCTCTCATTAAGTACTTGTGGTATCGCCTCGAACTTTTTATGGAAGCACTGTGAGGCCATTCTTAGAGTCTGTGCCAGTTTTCTTCAATATCCAACCAGAAACAAAAAAGTTCTTGGAAAAAAGCCTGTCAAAAAATTTAACAGGCTTTTTCTGAAAAGTGTGTTTTGGACATTGTGCATTGCTCATGGAAAGTGTAGCACGGGAACGACTGGACTGATTTTGACACAGTTTTTTTTTTTCCTGAATCCCAAAACATTCCTTGAGGGTCTGACAATCTCTGAATTATTCTTTATGACCCAGTTTTTTTTTTTTTTTTTTTCTAGAAGATGACTTGTACATGACACTGTTTCTGACAATGTGTGTAGGCAGCCAAAAAAGAGAAGTGATAAAAAATTCTGAGATTGTCATACCCAATAGTCTTCTTTTGAGTAAAGATCAACACCATTCGAAGCTTCCTGGCATGTTTATTTTATTTTTATTTATAGATAATGCAATCTTTCTTCGAGATCTTGGCAGCGTGATACATAACAGGTGAACTCAACAGAAAAGTAACAATGGGAAACGAACATATGAATATCTTTATACACGCACTTTAGAGAAAGAAAAAAAAAATGCAAGCGACGTTATTCTAACAAATTTCAAATCAAGCAGAGAAGCCATTTAGCACAAGTAAAAAAAAGCATAAGAAACATCTCAGCTAGACAAGGAAACAGATTACTATTAAAGGTGTGACTCAAACTGTGATAGTGAGTCTTGTGTAACAGTTGTATCAGGCAGTTTTTTCCAATCGACTATTGTTCTTGGAAAGAAAGAGTACTTATAACAGTTGACATGTGTAGTGTAAAGAGTAAGGGCTAGTGAGTGTGAGTGCCTGGTAGTGTAACCCTTC